ATAAGCTGTATTGTAATGCCATTCTGCCCAATGCAAGATTTGTGTCCAATGTTTCGGATTATCACAAGTAAATGCTCTCAAATATGTTTCCAAGCAGCGATTAAGGACCTCTGACTGCCCGTCTGTTTGTGGGTGATAAGAGCTGCTTGTACACAATTGAGTTCCCTGCAACTTGAACAATTCTTTCCAAAAGTTACTTACAAACAGAGGATCTCAATCAGAGACTATAGTTCTAGGAACCCCATGTAGCCTTCCCACTTCTTGATGAAAAACAGATGCTAAAGCAGGGGCTGTGATGTGAGGAACCAAGGCAATGAAATGCCCATACTTGGTTAACCTGTCCACAACAACCCATATGGTAGTTTTGCCTTGTGAACTTGGTAAATTGGTAATAAAGTCCATGGCAATATCTTGCCAAGCTTGGGATGGAATGGGAAGAGGTGAAAGTAACCCTTGAGGTTTCGAAGTAAGACACTTCACCTGTTGGTAAATTGGACAAGTAGCTATGAAATCCTTCACGGACTGTCTCATGCCTTTCAACCAAAAATTTGCTGCCAACCTTGCAAGCGTTCGAGCCACTCCAGCATGCCCTCCAATCAGTGTACTATGATACTCATGTAAGAGTGTTTGTTGAAGAGGGTGGCCCGTTGGGATAACTATGCGCCCTTCTTTCATCATCAAACCATTAACTAGGTTATAGCCTGAAGTAGCATCACTACATTGAGTAGCCAGTGCCTTTCCTTGGGACTCAGTTGCAAAATAAGACCGTAAGTCATCCAAAAATGAGAACTCAGGCCCTGAGAATGCCAAACAAGAAGGTTCATCAGTGAAGGATCGCGATAAAGCATCGACTACCTTGTTTTGAGGTCCGGGTTTATAATGGATGGTATATTGGAACCCAAGTAACTTCACTAGCCACTTTTGCTGTTCTGGGGTTTGTATGGTCTGCCCCATCATTCCCCGTAAGCTTTGCTGGTCTGTAAATATCACAAATGGCCTGCCAAGTAGGTACTGACGCCATTTTTTTACTGCTTCAGTGATGGCATACATCTCTCGAATGTAAGTAGAAGAGCTCTGCATTCTCAAACTTAGTTTCTTGCTAAAAAACGCAATTGGGTGTCCTTCTTGAGCTAAGACAGCCCCGATAGCCACATTTGATGCATCAGTGGACACTTCAAAATGTTTCTCAAAATCAGGTAAGGCTAGGATTGGAGTTGATGTCAATGCCTTCTTCAATAGCTCAAAGGCCTTAGTGGCACCCTCATTCCACTCGTAGGCATTAGCCTTTAATAGATTGGTCAATGGAGCAGCAATAGTGGCGTAATGTCGAACAAATTTTCTGTAGTAGCCGGTCAATCCCAAGAATCCTCTCAAAGCCTTGAGATTGCGAGGTTGAGGCCAAGCTGTGATGGCTTTGATTTTGGATGGATCCACTTGCACGCCACTGGCAGAGATTATGTGGCCTAAATAGTCAATGGAAGGCCTAGCAAACGAGCACTTCGATTGTTTTGCAAAATACTTGTGAGTCATGAGAAGTTCCAACACCTTCTGTAGAGGAATAAGATGTTCTTCCAAGGAAGCACTATAAATCAAGATATCGTCGAAGAAGACCAATACGAATCGACGCAATAAGGGTCGAAACAAATCATTCATTGCTGCTTGGAATGTGGATGGGGCGTTTGTCAATCCGAACGGCATCACTCGGAACTCGTAGTGACCGTCGGAAGTCCGGAAGGCTGTTTTGTGCACATCCTCTTCTACCACTCGAATCTGATGATATCCTGCTCGCAAATCAATCTTGGAGAATATCTTAGCCCCATTGAGTTCATCAAGTAGCTCATCAATGGTTGGAATAGGAAAACGGTCTTTAATGGTGATAGCGTTGAGAGCTCTGTAATCAATGCAGAACTTCCAAGACCCATCTTTCTTTCGTACTAAGAGCACATGTGACGAAAAGGGACTTGTTCTTGGCCGAATAATGCCTTCCTTGAGCATATCTAAGATCATTTGTTCCATATCCTTCTTCTAACTATGAGGATATCTATAGGGTTTAACATTTACTGGTAGAGAGCCTGGCACAAGGTGAATATGGTGGTCATTGGCTCGATATGGGGGCAAACTTTTCGGAGGATCAAAAACCCCATGGTAGCGATTTAAAAGCTCCGTAATAGCAGAGGTTTCTACAGCCAATGTAGGTGACGGCGGCGAAGACTCTGGTAGAACAGAATCGACTAAGGTTAAAAGATGAGCAGAGTGTAAACCTTTAGTTTGGGCTAGGCGTTGCACTTGGTGGGCTGTGGTGCAGTTGGCTTTTAAGGGTTGCTGGCCTGTAAGAGTTACCCAAGTCCCTTTATAGTTAAAAGACATCCTCATAAGACCAAAATCAGCAAGTATTGGACCCAATTGGGCTAACCATTGAATGCCCAAAATAATATCCACCCCATGAACATCAAGCAAGAAAAGATCTAATGTGAACTCCAAACCCTGAACCTCAACTGGTAACGCAGAAATTTTTCCCGAACAGCGAAGAACCTCGCCGTTGCCCACCTTGACCGTTAATGGAGGAGGCGGCTCAATTGATAATCCCAAGTATTTTACAACTCGAGGCTGTATGAGATTGTGGGTGCTTCCCGAATCCACCAAAATGGTAAAAGAGTGACCCCTAAATGTCCCTGTCAGCTTTAAACAAGAATGAGAGGATAAACCATATAAAGCATGAAGGGAAACCTGAAATTCCGGTAGCTGAAGCTCCGTCGGAAGGGGTGGTGGTGGGGGAAGAGGTATCTCCGACAGTGGAAGTGGCTCAGTGGCTATGTCCGCTGCTGACCGTGAGAAAGCTGTCATTGTAGAAACCATAGCTTCCTCTGTGTTGGTATAATCAGGGGGTTCATCCATTTGCAACAACAAAAATGGAGTTGTTTTGCAACGGTGACCGGGTTTAAATTGCTCATCACAGTTGTAGCACAATCCCTTTGATCGTCTAGCTTGCATCTCAGTCGGTGTGAGACGATAGATCTGATAAGATGAGGGTGAAGGTGCCTTCGAGTTGGAAACAGGGGTAACAAAGGAGGAAGACGTCAAAAGGGGGCCTCGATAATTTCTTTGCCGTGTTTCTGCAAATTTGGCCTCAATGAGTTTGGCCAAACCAAAGGCATGCGTGAGTGTTCTCGGATTGTGAATCACCACCTCCTGTTGAATATCATGTTTGAGGCCAGAGATGAATAGATTTAGTAAATGGTCATTTGAAAGGCCAGTGACTCTATTTGAGAGAATTTCAAACTCTTGTTGATATTGGGTAAGTGTTCCTGTTTGCCTGAGTTTGAAGAGAGCAGTTTGGGGATTGAGAAAAGCTGATGGACCAAAACGCACTTCCAGTGCTCTCGCAAAAGAATCCCAATCGGAAAGGAGGCGATGGCGATGCATTCATTGAAACCAATTTAATGCTTCTCCAGTCATGAAGAAAGATGCAACAGGGATTCTTTGATTCGGTTGGATACCGTAGAAAGCAAAATACTGCTCCGCTTGAAAGAGCCAAGCAGGAGCATGGTTGCCATCAAAATGGGTAAGGTCAAATTTGGGGGTTTTTGGCTGGAAAAGATTACCGGCAGGTAAAGGCGGTGGTTGCGGAAGCACCGGAGGATCAGGAGGATTAATACCCACGAGGTGGGGAAAGGTGGTTTTAGATTGCTGGGAAGTGGATGGTTGTAAGGCGGCGATTTGGGAATAGAGGTTTGTGAGGGAGGAATTAAGCTTGGACTCCAAGGTTTGTTGTGAAGCACGCAGCTCCTGCAGGTGGGAATTGAAGGACTTGGCGATGGCGTTAAGGGCATCAGTCACCGACGTATCAGTCTTCTCAACTTTGGGAGCCATGTGATGGAAATGAAAGCACCAATTGATAGAAAGAGACAGACGAGGTAGGGAGAGAAAACAGAGGGATATGGAATAGAAAAGAAATTGATAGACAAAGAGAATATTTCTTCTTCATATCCTGTTGAAAGAAAGGATTACATATATAAGGGAAATACCCTTGCACTTTCATCGGATCATGTGCAATCATTAAAGAGTCCCATTGCTAACAAAATTTGGAAAAATGAACAATAACAAAAATAACAGAAAGTTTCCTGCAGCTGTCTACTTGTCTTCTGCATCGAAACCTTTCAGCCAAGAGGGTTTTGGTGCGTTGCGCTTGGGCCGAGCCTAAGGTGGGCTTGTATCACAATTCCACTGATCTATTCAACTCCTCATCTTCCTTCAAATTGCATAAAACTCGATATCCACTTTTGACGGAATAGAAGCCTTTGTTATCAAAATGCCATACTAGCCTATCTTGCGTAGGAAATTGACTCAAGGCTGTATGTCTAATGGCCAAGGCATCCTCTGCAGAGAAAATATTCTCAATTAATTCCACATTCCACGGCCACCATTTTCAGTGTCAACTAAATCCGATACTCTCGAATCCTCATCAATTTTCCCCCACGCAGAGCGAGGAATAAAATCAGGGATCCCAGATACCCATTTATCTTTCAAAACACGAATATCCATTCCATTTCCCACTCTCCATTGAACACCAATATCCAATAGACTTTGTGAACTCTAGATGCTTCTCCAAGTGAAAGAAGGATTCCAGCCAATTTTAGCATCTAAGAAATTGCTCCTCGGAAAATATCGAGGTTTTAGGACTCGTTAGGCTAGAGTTGAACAATCGGTTAAAAGTCGCCACCCTTGCTTGCCCAATAGAGCTAAGTTGAAACTCTCCATCTCCCTAAATCCCATGCCGCCAAGATCCTTGCTTTTACATAAATTCCTCCAGCTCACCCAGTAAATTGGTCGCTTATCTCCCCCTTGTTTCCACCAGAAGCGAGAGAGCAAGCTATTAATTTCTTGACAAAGAACCTTTGGCAAAGCAAACATATTCATAGTATACGTGGGAATTGCCTGAAGCACGACTTTTATCATAATCTCACGACCCCCGTGGGATAACATTTTAACATTCCAGCTCTGTAATTTTTTCCATATTCGATCTTTTAATTCTCCAAACGCCTGTCTTCGATTTCTTCCCACCATAGCCGGAAGCCCCAGATATTTCTCAATACAATCCTGTTCCTTAACTCCAAATAACCTCAATAGCTCCTCCCATTGATTTTCCTGCCCATTACTACCATAAATAATGGCTGATTTATCAAAATTTATTTTTTGGCCCGAACACTCCTCATATCTCGCTAGTATGTCCTTCACCCTCTTGCTTTCCACCAAGTTTGCTTTACCAAACAATAGGCTGTCATCCGCAAAGAATAAGTGATTGACTCGTGGACCATTTCGACTCGCAGCCACACCTTGAAGTAAACCCTTTTCTTGACTATCTGTAAGCAATGTTGATAGAGCTTCAGTGCAGAAAAGAAACAAGTACGGAGAGAGAGGATCTCGTTGTCTCAAACCACGCCTAGGAGTCAATCGATCCGTGATCTCACCATTAACAATTACTGAAAATGAAACTGAACAAACACAAGCCATTATTAAATCCACCCATTTACCGTCGAAACCCAACCGTCGCATAACAACATCCAAAAAATCTCATTCCACCCGATCGTAAGCTTTGCTCATGTCTAATTTCAACGCAAAATAACCCTGCTTTCCTTTTTGATTTGTTCTCATTGTGTGCAGCAGCTCATAAGCAACCAAAATATTATCTGTAATTAAACGCCCAGGAACAAAAGCACTCTGGTTCTCACTGATATAGCTCGGAAGATACGCTTTTAACCTGTTAACCAAAACTTTGGAAATAATTTTGTAAAGCACATTACAGAGACTGATCGGCCTAAAATGGGTTATATTTTTTGGCTCTTTAATTTTAGGTATCAAGGCAATATGAGTATGATTAACATCCGAAGAAAAATTGCCATTAAGAAAATTAAGACAAAAATTAACTACATCACTACCAACACAAGACCAAAAATTTTAATAGAAAAAAGCAGGCATACCATTAGGACTTGATATGCCTGATGCTTATTTACTCCTATTTACTTTTGAATTGGAGAATGAAAGATAAAGAAAGAAAAAGATATGTGAAAGCTGAAACTTGGTGATTGGTAGTCAATACTTCAATACAGGAAATAAAACTAAAATTAGTAAAAAATTAACATATATTAGATATTATCCCTACGCATTCGCGTCTGGTTTTTTAGTTTATGATTGAAATTGAGTAATTTTGCGCAGTTGGGTTTTTCGATTTATGATTGGAACCGAGTTAGTTTGCGCAGTCGGGTTTTTCGGTTTATGATTGGAATTGAGTAATGTCAATTCTACGTAAAATTTTATCTTATGTAATAGCAAGTTGGGTTTTTCGGTTAATTACTCAATTCTAAGTAAAATTTTATCTTATGTAATAACAATTAAGTTAAATGAAAGGAAATATTGTTAGAATTCTAATGTCTATTCAAATAATTATCTACTGGAAAAATGAAATGGAGTTTTACTTTGATTATAATTCAATATTCTAAATATTATTTGAAATTCCAAATATATAATAATATATATTGGTTTTCTTCCAACCATTTAGCTTTGGACAACTGTCAAAAGGAGAAAGTCAAATACGAAGCATACACAGTTTGGGGATAACTTTAATAGTAAGGTATATATATATATATTATTTATATATTATATACTATATATACAAGTATGAATGTATGAATGTATGAATGTATTAATGTAGAGTGTAGACAACTTTTAGATTTTTGGAAAAAAATAAAAAATAAATAAAGACAACTTTTTAATTGTCTTTTTTGGGCAGACAACTTTTAGATTGTGGATAATACTTTTTTAAAAAAAATAATATTTCTAAAATACCATGATTAAAATTGCTTTTTATTGTCTTCATACATGCACTTATTATGGTGCACATTAGAGTGCACTTACTTGATTCTGTTTCTTGGATGCATTTTTTTTCTCTCCCAGTCTTTGGATATTAAAAACTTCAACCTGTTTAACCGGTTTTAAAACTTAGTGTCACAATCTTGTGAGACATTTTGAAAGTTGGCATCCATACTTATTTCTTTGTCGGGACATGTCCTAACAGTGTGACCCTCCCTTCCGCATTTATCAAAAGAATAAACCCATCCCAACAAGTTTTAAAACCGGTAAAACATGTTTAAGTTTTTAATATCCAACAGTTGGAAGAAAATGACTGCATCCAAGGTCAAGAATTAAGAAGGGCACACTAATGTGCACCATAACAAGTGCATGGAAGAAGACACCTTTCTGTTAATATATTTTTATATATTATGAGTTGGTATTTTAAGTTTATTATCTACATTAAAAGTTATTTTTTAATATCAATAGTTTAGAGTTTTACAATTTTAGTCTACTAAAAATCTTATTTTTATTTAATTAATTCCAATAAATTTATAAATTTGATTTTTTTAACCATATTACTCTTATTTTGAATTAAAATTGATAATGTATCTAATCTATTTAAATAATTAAAAAAAAGAAGTCTGAGAATGAAACTTCTATTATAAAAGAGTAAGATAGTAAAAAAAATAAAATTTAGAATTTAAAAGATATCATTTAGTTTTGTATTTTTATTTTCAATAATATATTTTGAGACACTTTTTTTAAACAAAGTAAAATTGTAAAAAAATATGGAAGAAAGAAGATTTTTAGAAGAATAGAATTGTAAAATATTTAGAAGTACGAGTTTCGGGTTGATCGAATCAATCGATTTTTTAGGAAGCATTCAAGATTCTTTATCATTTAATATACATAATTAACATTCAGAATGGTAATAATATAATGTAACACACGCATATATATCTCCCCCATGATCAACGACCTATGTTTTGAGGAATTATGTGGAATAGGAGAGAGATGTGATGTCGATAACTGGGTCAAGAACCCTACACTAGGTAAAGAACGAGGAGTTGGTTCATGACCATTAACTACCGCAACAATCTTCCTAGTGACAAGTTGTGCGTCGCCGTTTGCGAAGGGTTGTAATCTTATTTCCTGCCAAGGTGTAAATGTATGAATATGATATGTTTGGAGTTGAGGACCCATAAAACATAATAAATCTCTTACATGAATAGGAAAGCATAGGAAGAATGTTTGGTTGTATTGATTTACATCCCTGCTTTCATTATTTTCTTTACTCTGCTTTCTTATATAAGTGCTACTAACGAGTTTGCTTAGTGTGTAGTGAGTCCCTTGTATTAACAATCTTCCTAGTGGGATACGACCTTTACTTGCCCGGTTCTACCCAATTTTGAGTAGCACTTGAGTTCGTGAGGACTTTTTATTATTTGAAGGTAACCTAATTGTAATGACCAGTTAGGGAGCATCGGGTTTTTGGCTCCGTTGCCGGGGAAGGCAATTGGCTTTGTCAAGGAATACCTCAATCCCACTTCCCACTAAGTTTTCGTTTCCCCCCTTTACCTTTACTTTCTTTCAATTTCATATTTCAATTTTTTAGTTTTCTCACAAGTTTGTTCAAGTTTGATGTCAACAGCCAAGGAAGCAAGATGGGCTCGAATTTGAAGGCACCACCCCAATACAAGATGAAACCAAATGAATGGAAGCATATGTGCCTACATGAGACTCATGTGTGTCCACATAAGTAACCTAACAAATGCAAGACTGCTAAGCAAGCCCTTAGTCACCTCGAGCAAGGAACTAAGGAAACTTTTGCACAATATTGGGCAAGATTCAAGTCCATGAGTGACGCCATCCCTGAGCCTCCTGAGATGGCTTTTGTGGAATATTTCTACAAAGGATTGAGGATCCTCTGGAAAAATTCTTTGTCAAGTTCCAAGTGGAGGAAAATTGCTATATAATTCGGTAGCATTGGCCTATCAAACACTTGAAAGGACAGCAAAGGA